TAATGACAAGGAACCAAGATGAGTGATATTCAGCAAGACTTATTGGCTAGCTAGAAAGATTGGCATTCAAACGTGAGTTTACATACTCTTTCTGACTTTTGGTCTAAAATTGGTTTTTGGTGAAGTTTAATTCTGTGGTTGGTGATGTTTAATACTGTGTTTAGTGATGAGATAATTTCCCCTATTCAGCTTTGTTTGGAAAGGAAAATGTTAATCTCTGTTCCTGAAAAGAAGCAGCTTCAGAAATCTGACTAGTTCCTATGTCTATTTGTTCTGGTAATTGCTTTAACAAGTAACAGATACTCTGTTTGCTCCTTTGATTCATTCTGGAGAGCTTAAATGACCTCTCTGCTAAAGGGTTTCACTTTATGAGCAAGAGTTGGCTGCTGATAGTTATCATTGCATTTTAACTATTTTAATTCCTCAAGGTGCTCTGCCATCCTGCCTGATTTGTAACTCCAGTTTGCAGGTATTTCTAATCTAATGATTGGTATTTAGGGCAGCTTTTTGCAAGCAAAGAAGCTTTTTGTATTTTTGTACAGGTAATCCTTGATTTACAACAGTTACAATGGCACTGAAAAAAGTGATTTATGACCGTTTTTCACACTTACGACCATTGCAGCAAATTGTCATTAGGGCAAAGAAGCAATGCCACATGACCACCTGGCCACGTCCACCCGGTCACATGAAGCACTGCAGTTGTGAAATGAGTGACACTTTTGTTAAGAATGCTGCAACGGGCATAAATGAGGAGTGGTCATAAGTGCAAAGACCGGTCAAAAATGTGAGGACCTATCAGAAATCACTTTTTTCAGCCCTCTGAGTAGTCTCTATGTGCATATGGACTACTCAGAGGGTTGAAAAAGTTATTTTTGACCAGTCCTCACATTTATGACTGTCCTCACATTTTACGTTTTGCGCCCTATCTTGTCACTGTGGTGAAGAGAAGCAGTTGTGAAATGAGTGACACAGTTGTTAAGAATGCTGCAATGGGATAAATGTGAGGATGGTCATAAGTGTGAGGACCGGTCAAAAGTGCGAGGACCAGTCAGAAATGACTTTTTTCAGCTGTCTGAGTAGTCCCTATGCACATAGCCACGCCCATCTGGTCACATGACCAGCTAGCCACACCCACCCCAGTCACATGACCACCAAGTCATGCCCACCTGGTCACATGACCATTAAGCCACACACCCCCCAAATAAGCCACGCCCATAGAACCAGTTGTTAAAAAATGAATCCCACCACTGCTATTACTATATTTTATAGGGTTGCAATTCTGAATTTTCTATTCCCCCCTATTTTCTTCCATCTTGTGAGAACTAGAGGTAGTCTTGCCTAAGATGCTTATTCCAGTTACAGATTTGCCTGGGACTCAGATTTCTTTTCTTCCTGACCAAAAATTTATAATAACGTATATCTTTACATATTATTTTTTAAAGTTTCTAATTACAAAGACATTTAGTAAGACTTTCCTTAAATTCATATTTTAATTCAAGCCTTTTTATATTCATGTTTTTCAATATACAGTTTCTTGCAGGCCTTTATAAATTTAAAAACTAAGAAAAAATTCAGAAGAAAAATGTGAAAGATAAACTTATTTTGGTCGTGTGTATGGTTGTGTACATATGGCCAAGGCCACTGCTGGTTTTGGAAAGCTTTTTCTGCATTGTCTACTATTGTTATCTCAATTTACAATTGCTTATTTTATATTAAATATAATTGTCTCATTTCTTCTTAAAATAATGTAAAGGAAAATGTAAAGACTTTTTCTGCTGCTTCTTTATTTGAGCACTTGCCGCTGCACATTATCACTCCATGATTGTAAAGTTAGTAATATTTTACCATTTTAGATGTTATATTTTTTCTTTATTCACAAGGTACAACATTAATTATCATAAATAATAGAATACAAACCACCATTCTGTAAAGGAGCTGTACAGATGACCAACCTTGTTCTAAGCTGCTGAGCTATAATTGAAAACTGTAAAACAAATATGTGTTCTAAAAAAAGACTATCTAACATGCTTAATAATTTCATAAGACTTAATTAGTCCATTCAGCCATGAATAACTGAATTTGATGTAATGTCTAAATTCATAAAATGTATAAAATGAAATCGGTTCCTTGATTTCCTGACAAATTAAGCTGTATTATTCCTTTTAACAGTTAGTACTGTATTCTGTGAAACAGGTTTCCCCCCCCACACTATAAATAATCTATCTTGCTTTATGATAATGCAAATTCAAATTTGTGAATAATAAGTATAATTACCCAAAACTGGTAAATATTTCCACATTTAATGTTGAGATAAATCTACACAACATGAGACAGTCTAAAAAGTCATTTTGTGATTGATATAATAATTTCTAATTCTGAAATATCTTGCATTATCTTGTAAAATTAAATTAAAACTAAATATTACAACTAATGTAAGGAAAATAAATAACTCCATAATATGCTGCTTCTAATTTCTAAGTACCTTTATGAATGTGTGCCACATTTTTGCCACAACCTATTTCATAGTAGAAGAGAATCACTTCTCTATACATCAGTATACTATTTTTTTAAAACAGGGAACAATGTATAAACTTAGATTATGAGCTCCTTACATCACTCATAGTTTAGTGTTCTTCTTCTAGTATATTATGTAAGGTTTTGTCAAATTTTGTGGCTATAGCTATTCTTCCCCCAATTGTTTAGAATTAGAACTAACATTTTCAACTTATTACAATGAACCTGAGCCATAAATATGTTACAATCATATAAATAACAGAAATAACAGAGCAAAATATCATCTGGGAGTAATTTACTTATGAATTAATAACATACATGAAAAAATTGTAAGCATGGATATACATATTCCATATTTATTATTTTAAATATTAACCTCATAGAATTACAATTACTGTATTTTCGGAGTATAAGACTCACTTTTTCCCCACTCCTAAAAGAGGCTGAAAATTTGGGTGCATCTTACACTCCAAATGTAGCTTTTTCGAAGCTTTTTTTCAGCCCTAACGAGGCACTTGTGAGTGAAACGATCTATCTCCGACTCTCAGCTGTGCTTTAGAAGCTTTTTTTCAGTGAAGCAATCTTCCGTGCTTTGCCTGCTCCCTTCGACTCTCAGCTGTGAAGCTTTCTTTCAGCCCTAACAAGGCGCTAGTAAGTGAAGCAATCTCCATGGTTTGCCTGTTTTTCTTATGGCTTCTCTCTCCAAAGATCAGTTGTGCTTTAGAAGCTGTTTTTTTATCCCGAAGCAGGGGATAAAAACCAGCAAACTAATGTGCTGAAGCTGACCAGACTAAGGACCCTAGCCAGATGAATACCTGGTAGGCAGATTTTTTTTTCCTATTTTCCTTCCCAAAAACTAAATTGTGTTTTATATTCCGGTGCATCTTATACTCCAAAAAATATGGTAGTCTGTACCACAATATGTGAAACATAATGAATGAAACTACTAAACTTCCAATTTCTACATGTGTTTGTGTTTGTAAGTCTTATACAACATCTCCACTTGTTATGGCAATCTTGTCTATTTTTGCCTGTGTCTGATAAGCCTATTCCTGTTTAATTTTTAATGAGAATTTGTCATGTTATTGTTCAAATTTTTTCACCTGATAATACTGTCCTATTGGCATTCCATGGAATCATTTCCCTAACTTTATCAATATCCTTCAGTCATACTTTCCAACCCGTATCTCATTTGTTGATTCATTCTGACTCCTGTTATTCACTATGGTTTGGTTTCTATTAATTTAAAGCCTTACTTTATTCTCTTTAAAAGTTGCTATTCTTTTCCGTAACATACTAGAATGTCTGCATATGAACCAATCACTTTTACTCTAACTAAAGCAAGAACAGATTATAATGTACTTCTAATACCATGTCCAAAATTGAAAATATTTGGTGAATATGTGGTGATTATGAATATAACATCATCTATAGTTAATCATTAAGTTTCACATGCTGTTATATACCGGTAGTTTGTAAGTGTGGGAGAATAAAATTTTTCTGCTCAACCCTTTATAATGATAGATTTTAATGCTAGTAATAGGTAGTGCACTATTTCAATTGTGCCAGATATATATTTTAATAAAAATGTGATGTGTTTTTTTAAAAAAGAATGTGCACATTAAAATAATCTGATGCCTTGGGAAAATAATAATAAGATTTCTTTGCAGGAAAATCCATAATTCCCATTGACCTTAAACCAAAGAATTTGAGGAAAATAGAATACAAATTTTAGAAACTTTAGATTATTCCTATTAGTGTAAAAAAATTGTTGATAATAAAAATAACTTTGTATTCCTTGAATTATAGTAGATTATAGTATAAATTGGCCCAATCTGGTCTCATTTTCAGTATGTCAAATAAGAAATTATGTAAAATTGTATATATACATATAAAGCTAGATGAATAGTACGTATACCTATTTTTAAAATTAATTAATACACCATTTAAATAATTGTTTATAATGAAGCAATCTTGTTTATAAAACATTTTTTCAAATCATTTTCCCTTAAGATATTTGCTATAGTATATTTTGTTGAGAACATTTAGCATGCACAGAAATCTTACAGATCTTTTACTTCGCTTGTACAAAGTCTAAAATTTCCCTGAATGTAACTTTGTTAAGTTATTACAGAGCTGAAATGTTTTGATAGGTATATTTCATATTGTTAGATCAGAATAAAATTTAGGATATTATATACTGATAATAATGCTATATGATTGTAGTGGTTTAGAACAAGGACAGTATAAGTGATATTCCTAATATAACTTTAATGTGACATGAACATAGCCATACTAATTTTATGGCTGTAAAGCTTTAAGTAATACATGGTTCAATAAAAGTGTCATGAAGATTAATTTTTAGTGGAATTATGTCATTTCATATAATGAATTACCTTGTAGAGATGTTTCCGTGTTAGAATAATGATGACAGGATTCCAGATGAAAAATTAAACTTGGTATAATTTTCTTTTCTATTCTAAAAGCAGATATGATATCAAAGATGATTACACCTTGCGTATTAAAAAGGCTGTGAGCTTAGATGAAGGAACATACACATGCATAGCTGAAAACAGAGTTGGAAAAGTTGAGACATCTGCAACTCTTACAGTTCGAGGTGAGTTCTGAACTATTTAAAACATAACGACATATAATATATTCGGACATATCATTTGGTGACTGAAGATTGGATTCTAAGATTCTCTTTTAGAATACAGGATACAGTTGTATTTAAATAACCAACTCTGCTTGTAGCTTGCTTCGATCACTGATAGTAGCTGTCAAGAATATCATGCAGAAAAGTTTTTTGACATGATTAAATGATTAAAAAGAGATTCTGATGTCATTACATTTATTATAGCAAGAGAAAGTTCTTAAAACTCAGGAAAACTCTTGTTACTGTAATTCCAAGAGACAATAAAAAGGGCTTTATATTTTTATAAGCATTGCATAATTAAGTGCCTATACATTTTGTTCTTATAATCTTATAAAAAAGGAAATTGAAGAAAAAGTTCACAATTTCACATTTAAATGAAAAATAGCAGCTGAAATCATATATCTCCTTATCCAGCACTGTCGTGAAAAAATTAAGGATAGAAGGATAGATACATGAAAAATATAGTTTTCTTTATTACAGCTGACCATGCAGCAACAGGTGACTATAAAGCCAGTCATCAAGAAATATATGAGTTTTATTTTTTCACAGCAAATTTAATATATCAAACCAGTACAATACCCTGTTTCCCCCAAAATAAGACATCCCATGATAATAAGCCCAATCGACACATGGCAATAAGGCCAAGCGCTTATTTCAGGGTTCAAAAAAAATATAAGACGGGGTCTTATTTTCAGGGAAACACTGTATATAAAGAATCAAGGAAGAATTAGATGAATGTATGAGGAAGGAGGAAAAATGTGGTGATTGCTATACTATACATATATATCAACACAGATTAGATATGGGAATGTAGATCTTTTTTGATGTAGAAAAAGAAGTAGAAAATATCAAGGTATGCAAAAGGGAGGGGCAATAGACAGTATGTTATATAAATTACAATAAATTATTGAATTGTATGCCATTTGTCTTCCAAACACTTTTATTTTTTATGATGTGTGACTTTTGAAAATTCATACCTACAGTAATTTTTTTCTGGAAAAAAAATTAACAAAATACAGTATCTATTGTGATTGGCCTATGGATCCTGATTTTTGGTCTGCCATATATATAAACCAAGATGGATTCAAAACGTGTGTGTGAGAGAGACAGAGAAAGTTTATTCTATAAAGGATACTGAGGAACAAAATATTTGTAGATTTCATGAAATATTTTCACTAGATATCTTTGCTGAAATTCTATCCATTCTCCTTTTGGTGTGTATTTTTCCCATTGCCAGCTGTGAACTTCATTGGTAATGAATGCAGCTGGAGGTCATTTTATAAATGGGTATACACACACAAACATAAAAATAGAAGTATAAAAAATAATGGGTATCACACAGACAGGTTCACATTGTAGCAGCATGTGCTAAAGATTTCACTAGAATTGCAAAAATTGGTTCATAAGTGTTTTTTCTCGTTCATTCCCATTATATCATATAAGTTTATATGGTCTGCTTTATTAGAATATGGGTCAACTGATCTGAGGTGCCAGCTTTTATAATATGGTTTAGTTAATTGATGAATTTGGATGGGAAAAGAAAGAAAGCAACTAAAATAAGTTGCTTGCCAAAAAATCCAAATTGGAATCCCTCTTCTTTCTTAAAGTTCACCAGATTCTGTTAGTAAAAGTAATTTGGAAAATTTGTTCCTTGTTCCAAATGGAATTTATCTTAAAAATCAAAACTTAAAAAATTTCCAGTGTTGAATTGCTGTTTTAAAATCCTTCTTTATGGCACCTTCCTTAATAACAATTACAGAGCTTTTATTGTTTTTGAATTATATTAATATTAAATCATGTCTTATAACATTGAAACTGCCAAATTATGAATTTTTCTTTTGAACTTAGTCTAATTTACTCCATAAAACTTGATTGGAAATGTAATAATTTTATGAATTTAACTGATTAACTTTCTTCTCTGAAATATTTGGGTATCTTTGACTGTGTCTTGTTCCATGAACTATTTGAATCATACAAGGTTAAAGTTCTCCTAACATGAAACCTCTTTCATACATTCCTGGACTCTGAGTTACTTCAAATAAAACCATGACAGGCATAAACACTTTTGCCAGACATGCTGTTATGAAAAATAGTGACTGTAACAACTCTAGTGTTATTAGATGTACACAAATTCAGTTCTGCTTGGCAACAGTATGTATTTTCTTCAAACTCTTAAGTCATTTGTTATAGAAAGATATTAGATAAGATTATTCTTTTAGAAATATATACATAAAATAATAGTAAAGTTAACTAATTTTAAATGTTGGTTTGACAATGTCCTAATTTAATTATAATTTTAATTTTAATTTAATTATAAATGTGTTTTAACATCGCTTTTGAAAGTGGAAAGTCAGTCAATAAATATTCACATTGGGAGTTTTAAAGTAATTGTGGTTATATCACAATCAATCACATCAAAACATATTAAATTCCATTTCTTGTGTTTGCAGCCTACAAAATTATAACTGAAAGTATTTTATTGTGCAAATCATAAAGAAAAAAATAAAATAATTAAAATGAGGGATCTAGAATTTGTATAAAAGCTAAAAGCTAAATATCTCAAAGAAAATTATAAATTTATTTTGTGAAGTTTGACAGATGCAGCTGAATAATTAATGTAATAATTAAGTACTTAACAATATTATGTGATTAATTCTTTAACTGCTTTGTTTCTTATACAAACGCTCCATGCAGACCTAAGCTTGTCCTTCAATCAAAGAGCTGATACATAAGCCAAACACTGTTAATATAACAATCTAAAGCCATGATAGACAACTGCTAAATTGAAGACACTCAAAGTTAACATACATTTGAAGGAAAAATATCCCATTAATCAGTTCCATTTTTTTTTAAAAAAGTAAGAGTTACCCAACAACATTTTCTGAAATTCTGTTAAAATCCCTCTGATCATTCAAAATTATTTGTTTTAATTTTATCATCTGAATCAGTGAATGAGGAAAAATACATTTTTATGTGTTACTAAAATATTATACCTGAACACAGATATCACCAGATACTTTTAGCTTTTCTCCAAGCTTACCAAAATCCTGGCTAGATATGATTAAACGCCATTGGTCTTTAAGTCAAATACTGATATTTCTTCTTTTAATTGGATTAATATTTTCCAATGTGTAAGTTTGGATTAAATTAAAAAAAATCTAGGGATTTAGCTGCTTTTCTTTAAATATTTGAAATGACATTTGATAGTGTCATATGGACCTAGCAACAGAAGTAATCAGATCAATAATTCTATATAATCAAATTCTACGTATGTATTTCTCAATGAAGTTTTAAAATCATAAATAGTAGAAAGAAATTATTAATTATGGTTGCTATATATGTATAATGTTCAGGTAATTATCCACATATAGCATAGCATTACACATCATGCATTCTGACAAATTCTTTTTTTTTTCTTTAATTTTGTTACGTTCTCACCACACCATTGTAATATCTCCAGCTCGTCCTGTTGGTAAGTAGCCATCCTTCTATCCATTTTAGCATAATTTCATATAATTCTCCATCTTTCATTTATTATCATACATATGTGTTTTAAAATAATTATTAATTACTAAATATCCGATAGAGAATGAAAGAATTATTATTTACCTGTTTTCAAAGTTATTATACAGTAGAAAAATTAGAACAATGCAAGGACCTTAATAATTTGGTGTCATTTCTGAATCTGAAAGGTTGCATAATAGAAATAATGAATATATTTGATTAAAAACCTGCAATCTAATTTGTACCCTCACTGAAATAAATGAAATTATACTCTTTGACGGTATCTGTAGTAATGTACTGAAAAAAAATTAAAACAGCAGTGATTGGTATAAGTAGGCTTATATTTTTGGTGCTGAATTTTTTGAAAAGCTATAAAAGTTATGCTTTACCTGAAATGAATTTTGTTTCCAGTATTACATAAATATTTATACAGAACTTATTTAAGAACTGTTATCCATGTCATTTTTATTTGCAGTAGAAATGCCAGTTGTGTTTTGTGTTCAGTATGCTCAATGCAATATACAACAGAATACTGGTGCAATGTTCTGTGAAATGACATTTCTAGAGATTGTTTTTTCAGTGACATTGTTAAATAACAATACTAATACTGAGAGGTTATAAAAATTTTGATATCATTACCATTATTTTATAGGGTTTCAACTGAAATAAAAGAAGCTTTTTACTAATGTGTCAAATATGTAAGTGTCCTTTGGTTGTATGTGATATGAAATACAGGGTAGATATAGTTTTAAAAGTTTTTATTCTGTCTGAGAGGAAAAGAAAAGATCTGAAATTAATCATTGCTTGTTGCATTATGTTCATTTTCCAAAGCCAAACATGAAAAATCAATTTGAACTCATTAAATTATTGCTATGAATTATTAAATTATCCCTTAAATTGTTAAATTATATGCATTTGGATTATCTTCTATAGGAGTTTACATTAGATAAATTCTGGAAATAGAGCATTAATTTCTTTCCCTCCATTGCTGTCTATTATTGTTCTGATCAGATTTTCAGATAGACAAATCAGTATCTTTGTACACAGAAATACTATTGCACTGTTTCTACCTGGTTTGTTTGTCCAAAATACAGTTGCAGTTATTGTCCTGCTCCGGGTTTCAATTATACATTCACACACATTTGCCATCAAAATTAACAGTTTACTCAAGTTCGAGGAGATATCAGCAGGCAATGAATGCAAATCAAAACAGAGCCTCTTAAAGAGTTTTCCAGGGTAGTTTTGGAAACAGGAACATGCAGAATAATACTTAAAATCAAGTCCAGATCAGAGTGGTCAACCAGTCCAGAGGTCAAAATTTCACAAACAGAATCCAAATGAACATCATGTAAACAACCAGCGATCAAACAATTTCAGTAAAGGATGATGGCTCAGGGCTGCCTCTTAAATGAGGTTGCAGCAATCTGTATTTAAATAAGGGATTTTTTTATACATATTTAGACTGAGCACATGAGTTCTGAGCTGTGACAGTCTCCCGCCCTCCACAATCTCCTCCAACCTCACTTGAGGGTTCAGGATTTTGGGGGCATCAGCAATGGAACTGAAATACCAAGTATGGTGCATCCTCCCAGGAACATTCCTCTCCGCCATTTCCCTTTTAGACTATCAAGTACTGTAATCAGTGTTCATACCAATAGGAATCCAAAATATGTATCACATAATACTTAGGTTCACCATCTACCATGACAGATGATGGAAGCTGAACATCTGGACGATGAGTATTTGCTGCAGCATTGGGAACCATTACAATATATGGAAGATTGAGTGCTTTTTGATAATTGCAGGTGATAAGCCTCTGCTTCAATGGAAAAAAGAACTGGGAACTGGTCATCTAGGTTTTTTGGATCTGCATTAAGTAACAAATGTCAGGTGGAAATTCACACACAGTCTGCAAAAGACAAGGTGACTCTAGTCTAGGTTGACGATGTTGAAGTTTTTTGCTTCCTGTACCTGGTCTTGGAGGACTTGATGGGTTGCCGTCAGTTCCTATGAAAAGTGATCTTTGACTAGAATGGATGAATTAGAGGAATTCAAAAGAAAGAAATAAGGGTGGAAACAATAATTATCTTGGAACAGAGATATCTTTATGGAGATGTATTATACATTGTTGTAGGCTAACTCCACTGCAGCCAGAAGCTCAATCCAATTGTCTTCTTGATAATTGACATAATCACTTATTTTTATATAAAAGCAGCTAAATTTAAAAGTTCCTAAACTTTAAATGGCTAGGTCTAAAAAAAGAACAACTAAAAAAAACCCCAATTAATTATTTTTTTTAAAGCTCCCAAAGGGGGAAAAAACTTACCCAATTGAACAGGGGTCTCCAACCTTGGCAACTTTAAGACTTGTAGACTTCAACTCCCAGAATTCCTCAGCCAGCTTTGCTTTGCTGGCTGAGGAATTCTGGGAGTTGAAGTCCACAACTTCCTGCCTGCTTGATTGCAGGCAGGGAGAGTCAGTTGCTTGCTGATGCAATCGATTGCAGGGATTACAGCAAGGCGTTGCGACTAGCAGCTAAGGTAAGCAAGTGAGGGGAGGACGGGGAGGGATTTTTGCTACTGATTAGCAGGCAGAGCCATTTAAAAGGAAAAAAGTTTTTTTTCTTTTACATGGCTCTGGCGATCCAAGCTGAGTTGCCTGATTAGTAGGCAACTCAGCTGGGATCGTCAGAGCTTGGCTGGTCAGAGCCATTTAAAAGAAAAAAAAGGCTCTTATGATCGCGCAGCTCAGCTGGGCATGGGGGGCGGGGGCAGGAATTTTTGCTACTGGTTCTCCAAACTGCCCGCCGCCATCGCTACCTACTCACCCGAGCCGGTCCGAACCAGGCGCATTTCACCCCTGATACAGAGGGACATGGCTTGTCAGGATCTTTCCAATGTTCACACTAATAGAAGTTCCCCAGGTAGCTTTCCTGGAATATCCTTGACTCAGCAGCAATCAGGACAGGAAGTGATATACTGTTCCACCTCCATTTAGAGATGGAGCCAGCAGAAATTTTGAATAAAATACAGAATCTTAAATTGTCCAAAGTGCCTTGCCTGTGGACTTTTGTGGCTCAGTCTCAGGACCATGCTCCATAAGGGCTCAGTGGAAACTTAAATTGCAAGAATTTCCCCTGCAATTTCCCCCGAACATGTCTGTGCATAACTATCTAGATGTTACGGTTCCTTTAGTTCCTATAGTAGAGTTAATGGAACGACAGTGTTTTCTGAAGATTTGACAGAGTAGATTAGGAGTCAGTGTCAGAGTGTTCATAGAGGGCATCAGCACATTTATTATGGCTGCAAGGGATGCAATTCTGAAATTAAACTGAACAAAGAAAAATGTTGAGTGGATTAGTGTTTGATTTAGTTTCTTGGTAGTTTGAAGATGTTCATGATTCTGGTGATCAGTACAGACTTCCACTGGGTACCTGGTGCCTTCTAGCAGATGTCACAAGATTTCAAAAGTGGCTTTAATTGCTGGCAGTTCCTTATCCCAGTGATATTGTTTTTCTCAGCCATCTTTCAGTTTCTGACAGTAATAGCCACAGGAGAATATACTGGAGGAGCATCAAGTCTGCCTGGAGTAGTACACTGCCTCAAAGGTGTCAGTCTCTATAACAAAAGGACTTGTTGGATCTGGGTGACAAAGATTGAGCTGAAAGGCAAATGCAGACTTTAAAGCTTCAAAAGCATTTTGAGCCTTCTCACCTTATTGAAAAGTGACCTTCTGGAAGAGGTTGGTCAATGGTGTTGTGACTTCAGCAAATCAAATAATAAAAAAAACTGATCATAATTTGCAAGCCCAGGAGGCATTGTATAGCCTTGTGTGAGGACTACCAAGACAAGATAGCATCCAGTTTATCATGGCACTAATTACTCAGAAATTCTATTGTGGTACTCTCAAATTCATATTACGTGAGTTTTTTAAATAGATTATTTTTCTGCAGTCTCTGTAAATTGGTTTGACATGTTATTCATGCTCTGCAATAGAAGTCAAGAAAATCAGGATATCATCAATATAAATAATGATATAATGATCCAGAACATCTCAGAATACATGACTCATAAAATGCTAGAAGATTACAGAAGGATTCATCAATCCAAGTCACATGACCATATACATTCAGTATGCCCATAGTGTGTTCAAAACACTGTTCCATTCATTTCTTTCTTTTGCACATTAAATTGTATAACCTCTGATATCTAACTTGATAAACATTTAGCATTGTAGAGGCATTCATAAATGAATAACAAAGGGTAATGATTATAAACAATAATCTGATACAGTTGCCAGTAATCGTTGCAGACACGAGGTTCTCCCAATTTCTTTCTAAAGAACAGTATAGGAGCCACGGCAGGAAAGGCTAAGGGTCAAAATAAAGCCTCTTTTCACATTTTTATCAATGGATCCCTTCAAGACTATCAACTTAGGTTGTGATAGAGTAGAGACATCCAACAGGGATTTTAGCCCCTGGTACCAGATCAATAGGGTAGTCATGCAATTGGTGCATTAGTAACTGCTATGCTTTCCTTTGACTGATTACAACTGTGAAGTCTTAGTATCTAATAAGAAATGTCGTTCAGCAGCTAAAATTGCAGGAATCATATATATTCATAATATATTATTAAATACCTAATCTATCACCAATTTTTGTTTTTAAGATGGGACTACACATTGGTGTGTGTCATGCTAGATTCAGATTGACATATAAGTGCCTGTAGGATTTCCCTCTAAAATTGCAATCTGATTTAGGGCTATGTGACAATTCAGACTTTGCCCTGTACCCCCCCCCCCCCCCAAAAAAAAAGGCTCAGTAGGGAACTGATTCCATATACCTGTTTTCTTTCCCCTAGCCTCTAAGGCCAATTTTAACTGACATCACAAACCTTAAACTGATGAACCCAAAAACAGATGTGGCAGAAGACAATGCAAAACAAAAACATACTAGATGCAATCGAGGGGTGGGTTCTACTTACCTTTACTACCGGTTCACAACAGGGCCGCGCATTTGCTTTGCTCATGTGTTGGCTCTTCTGTGCAAGCGCAGAAGCTTATGCGCATGCACAGAAGCATTTTGATGATGTTGGGGTCGGTGGGCGGAGCCTCCTGCCAATTTTAGTACCGGTTCTATAGAACTGGTGTGAACCAGGGGCAACCCACCACTGATGCAATCCAAAGAATCTGAACTGTTCGAACGATGTCAAATGACAGACATATAAGATATATCTGAATACACCCAATATGCATTCTGAATAAATTCTCATTTTTGGTCATAGAACTAAAACTTAAATATCATCTGAACAATATAAGAAACAGAAAAATATAAATATATATAAATCCAATTTTTATATATATAAAAACATAAAATATAAATCCAAAATTTGTTGCCCCAATAAAACTTACCTCCATCAATCAGTGGATCTTTAAGTCATGAGCATTTCTGAACTGTTCTATGCCTGTACAATTATTAGAGGAGCCACAAGTTCGGGAAAGAGCAGTCTACAATCAAGTTAATAAGGCTGTACATCAGCTACTTTCAGTTCAGAAAAAAGCTTACTCATGAATTTAGTTATGAATCTCAAATTCAGTCACAAGCAGTGGTGGGTTTCAAAATTTTTTACTACTGGTTCTGTGGGTGTGGCTTGGTAGGTGTGGCATGGCTTGGTGGGCATGGCAGGGGAAGGATACTGTAAAATTGCCATTCCCTCACCAATCCAGGGCAAGGTTACTACAAAATCCCCATTTCCTCCTGATCAGCTGGGACTTGGGAAGCAGAGAATAGATGGGGGCATGGCCAGTCAGAATTTTTACTACCGGTTCTCCGAACTACTCAAAATTTCTGCTACCGATTCTCCAGAATTGGTCAGAGCCTGCTGAAACCCATCTGTGGTCACAAGGTTTACACAATTAATTAGAAAATAATTTGAATGCAAATGAAAGGACATTCAGAACATATTTGTTCTAGATCTTTCAATATGAATTAAATGTATTTTGGGTTCTCATCATTTCCTATGATTGTGTTAATAAATCATGCAAGTTTCATATGAGCTACTGTTGAACTATAAGCTTTTCAAGCAACTTTAAATACATCTTATTAACATTTTTAAGATTTAAATAATATTGTTTATTTTGCCTTTTTGTGCTTTTATTGTTGCATTCTAAATATAAAATGCTATATATTTAGAAGACCCTGTTGTTCCGCCAGGCCGGGCTATCAACTTAATAATTTTAAATTGGGGTATTTTAAATTTTTGGGGTTTTAAATCGGCCAAATCTATTTAATTATTTTAATTTTTAATTATTGTTGTGTCTTTTAAATTGGCTGTACACCGCCCTGAGTCCTTCGGGAGAAGGGCGGTATAGAAATAAAATTATTATTATTATTATTATTATTATTATTATTATTATTATTATTATTTATTATTATTATTATTATTATTATTATTAATTTCTTTCCAATTGGTATTAATTCCTTTTGATACAGCTGGTCAAATATTATTTCAACCAAGTTCATCTTTTTAATGAAACTACGTCTTTGATGAATTTCTATGTAATTAACTGTTTACTACAATATTCTAAAGTGTTTAATGAAAATTACCAATATTTATTACCATTCTTATTTCACTTCTTATCAATTAATGGGATAATTACTGTGCCTCATGTAGCTATGCTGATTTGTACCCTTTTCACATCTCTAATCAAGCACCCAATTTGTAGGTCCCCATGTCCTTAAAAGTATGACAACAATGTTTGGCAGGAAAATTACCAATATTTATGGTATGATTCTGCTTCTTGTTTTAGCTTTCAGGTTGATTTTTGACTCCCAAAGGTTTTCCACTCCAATTCTCATAATTTTAAGTCCCTCAAGGAAAGACAGCCCTTTTCCAAATCACTAAATTAAATGGAGAGTCTCTGGAAAATCCACAATCCGAGCTGTGCCACTAATTATTGAGAGTTTGTCCACCTTTGATATAACTTGCTGTAGTTTGTCACATAGTGCTTCACACCATATAATAAAGATGTGCATATGTAACCTGTGAAAACAGATGAGATGAAACCTACATCTTTTACATGTTTAATTCTGAATAAACTGGAAATAATAAATGTTAAACTGTTACCTTTCAGAAAATATATAATCCCAAATTCCAAATCTTTGGGATTTTTGATGAAAAAAAGCCATGGATGTCTTCATTTAAAATGTATGGATGCTATGGTATTAATAACAGTATCATCTTTGCATAAGTCACAGACCAGCGTAATAAAAAATAACAAACATCAAACAAGAGTAACAATACATTCTTTCCATTTATTAGAATATTCTAATGTGCTATTATTAGTACTTAAAAAGAGCTAAAGCCTGAAATACAAGTAACCTAGAAACAAGCAATAAAGTCATATTCTTGTTCAATGCTAAGATAATATCCCTAACTAAAGTTAAATGGCAAGAATTAATGAAAAGCATCAGTAAAATTCTAAATTTAAAACAATTAGATATGGTTAAGCAGGCAATCATAGGGTTTTTTGTATGCCATCACTGGATGTCTCTACTTCTATCAACCAATGAAAACAGGAATCTCAAGTTCTCTACCAGAGATCTGGCAGTTTGAGGATTCTCCACAGTATCTTAGCTGTCCCTACTCTTTTGAACATAGAGCTCTGACATTCATAGGATCTATTGGAATCACTCTCCCAGCTTAGAAGTCACAGCCCTGAGTGCTCTTACCATCACTTGGATTATTTTGGCCTTTAATTTCCACGTCGTCTCTTGTTCTCCTCCATCAGACCTTTGTCATACTCCTTCTACCCAATGTTGTTGTCACTTCGCACTGCTGCAGCTTATTTAGCAGATATCTCCTTCATCTGCCCTAAAATTATTGTTAGTGTCAAAGTTGACAATGTTAGTTTTTACCAATAAGTTTAAAAAATAGCTAAATCTTAGTTTTGAAATAGTCTCACAATGGAGGGCTATGTTTGAGGCACACTATAGAATTTGTAAGATATTTCTTAGAAATTTATATTGCACAGTTTCCATTAGTCGTCCTATGGTCCTAAAGTGTACTGTACAAGACCAAGGACCACACGTTGACAGAATAAAACTTCAAGGTATGCTGTATATATATTTCTTTTAAAAAATTGTACTCCTTGTTCTTTAATTTAGCATTTGCTAACTTATAATTTTTACTTCTTTTGAGTCAAAGTTGATTTCTGAAATTGAAAATATTGTGACCTTTAACTTATTGTTATAGTTGTTAAAACCTTTCACTTCTTAATGTCTTATTTTGACTTCTCACCTCATAGCACCTCCACAGTTTGTGGTAAGGCCACGTGATCAGATTGTTGCCCAGGGAAGAACAGTAACATTCCCATGTGAAACTAAAGGAAATCCTCAGCCAGCAGTATTTTGGCAAAAGGAAGGCAGCCAGGTAAGTTCTTTAAATGAGAATTAATTCTTTAATTACTGGAGGTATACAAATCTTTGGAACCAATGTGTCAGAAAGGGTATCTGCATGACAGAAGTTTTCCTCAAAGCAAAAACCCCTATTACTTGAAAGGTTTATGCAGATCATGTTCCAATTTGCAGGCACTTCCAGCAAAGAGGCACAATTCCCTTATTTATATCAGTATTGTGAATGGCAATAATAATAATAATAATAATAATAATAATAATAATAATAATAATAATACCTAGGATGCTGGCAGCAACCCGAATCAACCATTAGCACCAGTCAATTGTATTTGTGATGCATTTTTGAATGTTCAGTTGACTGAGTTTCATGTTTCATGAATAAATAAATAAATAATAATAATAATATAAGTTTGTTATTAGGCATTAGTTTGTAATGCTTGTTCTTGAGCAGCGACTATTAAACCTTCCATTTCTTTTAAGATGGGAACCATCAAGAAAGAAACGGAAGGTTTAATACTCGCTGCTCAAGAACAAGCACTACAAACTAATGCCATGAAAGCAAAGATACAAAAATCCACCGACAATCCAAACTGCCAACTTTGCAACAACAAAGTCGAAACTGTTTCACATTTAATATGTGAATGCAGCAAAATCACACAAACTGATTACAAAGCTAGACAAGACCGAGTTGCTAAATTAATCCATTGGTCAATATGTAAAAAATACAATTTACCTGTATCCAAAAAGTCATGGGAACATAAAGTGGAAAAGGTTATAGAAAATGAGAAGGTGAAAATCTTGTGGGACTTTCGAATATAGACAGATCGTCACTTGGAACACAACATGCCAGATATCACAGTTATCGAAAATCGAAACATACAATTTATTGACATTGCAGTACCAGGAGATGCCAGAGCCGAAGAAAAAGAACTGGAAAAAATCATGAAATATCGCAACCTGGCCATCAAAATTACACAGCTATGGATGAAACATGTAACAGTGATACCCATTGTCATTGGGACACTTGGTACAATGTCCAAGAATTTTATAACATACATCAACAAATTGCAGCTTCCTGCAATAACACCAGCGGAACTGCAAAAAACTGCACTACTTGGAACATCGTGTATCTTAAGAAGGTACTTGGTTGATACCTAGGACGCTGGCAGCAGCCCGTATCAACCATTAGCACCAGTCAGTGGTATTTGTGATGCATTTTTGATTGTTCAGTTGACTTGAGTTTCAGGTTTAATGAATAAAGTAAATAATAATAATAATTTTAACTTATTTTCAAGATTTTGAAACATATTGAATTGATCCTATCGGATCATTGTATCAATGATTAATTTACTTTGTTATCCAGTAAGTTTTTTGGAATATAAATATATTATGCTACCCCTTTGTCTCACTAAATTTAGCCTTGTTCTTCACATTCTAAACCACAACAGCCATTTTCAGTGGAATAGGAAATTATTTCTGTCCTTTTGAGGATAGCTAGCCTATATGAAAATCTGCATCCATATAGTTGTGCCACTGAAATATTATCTCAGTTATATATCAGTTAAACTACAAAATATATAAGTTGACACTCTTTATGAATTGAATAAATAATTCATCTGTCATTTTTCAGTGTAACCATTGTACATTAGAAAATCACAGAGATGAGAATGCAACATTTTCTCCTACAAATGGTTGTATTTTTCTTTGTTTCAAAGCTTGACAGGTTTTTCTGGTTGTTTACTTCAATGTGCAGTGTGAGCATTGTTTGAAGGACTTGAATAATACAATTTAAAAGTTGATTTCATTATGAAGAAAATTATTTTTGGCTTGCTATTGAGAAAATTGCTTGGAAGAGAAAATGTATGCCATTTTTAAAATTAAAACAATAATTGTTAACGAACATTTTAAATATGTTATTTAAAATCTTAATAACATGGTAATGTTTATGTAAAGTGGGCTTATAGTGTCACACTTGAATCTAATAAAGTGGACATCCATCATGATGTAATAAAGAGAAGAGCTTCTAATTAAAGTAGGATATCATTTGCAGGATTACAGTCATTTAGTGTAATTGAAAAGTGTTAATACCCTATTTTATCCACTTTCATTGGTATTACTTCAAGGGTAAAACATTTTAAGGTGAAAATGTATCTTGCTTCTTTAATTGAATGCTGTTACCTACTGATTGTAACATGTTGAAGCTGTTTAATTACAAACCTGTAGAATTAATTACAATATTGAGACCAAGTTCCCAGAGGGCTTAAATGTTCTCTTTTTGGCAAATAAATGTAACATAAAAATTGATACCTCAGTTGTTTATAATCAAACCTTGAAACATAGTTCAATGTGATTCATTATTCCCACGTGTTGTTTTCTTAATTGAGCTTCAGTAAAGCAACAGAGGTTAACCAGGTTAATGTTTCCACTCTAATGTAAAAATGTCTGGTCTTTGTAGGGAGACATCAACCTTTTAAACGTTTAAAAGTCCTGTCGTTGCATTTTATCATGAATAGCAAAGGCATGTTACTTCTGCTTTGCCTAAATTGAATATACAAATTATAATATTTTTTGATTCTGGGTACCCCGTTGTCATTTAATTTTACATTTCCTATTCAAAAAGAAAGAAAGGAAAAGAAAACTCATCTTCAATAATCATGATCATAGCCTTATGATCATATGGCTTTCCGCTATTTATATTACCCTAATAACGTAAATTTTAAGGCAGGGGTTCCTAACTCCCGGTCCATGGCACTGGGCCATGGCATGCCAGAAACCAGGCCACACAAACAAGTGAAGCCCCATCTGTAGGATGCAGGCAGCACACAAAACCATGCCTGCTCTCCACAGAAAAACCTCTCTCCACAGAAGCAGTCCCTAGTGCCTAAAAGGTTGGTGGCTCCTGTTTTAAGGCATTCTTCTATTGGACTGGTTCTTTTTACCCTTTTACTAAGTGTTGTCAACTGGATAGGACATGTAATAACTGTCCCTGGATTTTTCATGATGGCAGTTTGCATAACTCTTCGTATTTAGTAGCTATTTCATTTTTAATCATATTTCATATAAAATGCAGCAACTTTATACTAAAGAATACGTATACTTTATTCTCTGTTGGATTGCAGCAGTATATTTCCAATACTCTTGAATAAGTGAACCATGTTCTTTTTTTGCAGTATTGTATTTGGATAATTCTGTTGTTAACTACTGGATTCCCACATTCACTAAATCATACCATAGATTTGAGGGGGGGTGGATATTGGAACATGCTGTTATGATTTGTTCATTGGCATCCTTCAGTCTCAAGAGACTATGGTATCGTGCTCTGGAAAGATTTGATTTGTTATTAGAAAAATATTCATTATTTATGAAGTCCATGTGAAAACACAGTCAACATTTACAAATGTAGCTCTTACATTCAGCATCACAATTTAATAGCATTTAAAATTTACTATAGGGCAGTCTCCTGAAAAATCATAACATTAACATCAGATTATTTAAATACACATGGGAAAATAATATAATTTTCTTTTTAGAAATGTAATATCTACTGACAAAACTACTTATGTAATTACTTGTTTTTCTAAAACTTATTATTAAAATGGTTTCTAAAATTATGCTGTGTTTGGGAACTTTAAGGAAACCATCTTAAATGTCCCCCCCCAAAAAACAATAGCCTAAATTATACTATCCAAATTATAATATCTAGCTCAATATTTCATTAGTAAGGAAATATAAATAAAACTGTGCACTTACCATATTAAAAACTATATAGAGATGCTCCAATTAAAAATTGCACCAGCTTATCTCAGAGGAAGTACATAACAATGTGCCCATTGTGAAGAATGCTGCTGTTACTTAGAAAATCATTAGTGTTTCAGCTTTTGAACTAAATGATCTGCATTACCTCTACAGAATCTTCTATTTCCGAATCAGCCACTCCAGCCTAATGCCAGGTATTCTGTGTCACCAACTGGAGATCTTACTATCACAAATATTCAGCGGGCTGATGCAGGATATTACATCTGTCAAGCACTCACAGTTGCTGGAAGTATCTTAGCAAAAGCTCAGTTGGAAGTTACAGATGGTAAGAAATAATCTTCATGATATATTGTTATTGTTGTTATACATTGCTTTATATATGTTTATGATCCCAAGTCATGCATTGTTTGTAGATCTATTCTTAACCAATTATTTGGATTGACCAAAAGGCAGTTAGGTGGTTTAAATAAGAAGTTACCAAGTCAAGGATAATTGAAACCAAATACCCTGTTCACTCATTCACCTACTCTGACAAATTTTAAGATAAGTGAAGATTCTTTAGGACTTCTCATATGCAGATAATTAATTATTTCCTATTGGTATTTATTTTTAATAGCTACTTAAAGTATTTAATTACTGGAAGAACTAAACTGGAAGAAGTAATCCCCATATTATATAATTGTAAATCTGCATGTAGCTTTAGTCCAAAGTAAAATCCTACATGCAATCAATTGTTACAGGAAATATACATATACGTACAGATATACATGTCCTATGACAAAGGGGTAGAAATTATTTTGAACACAATGAATTATACCAAATGAATTGATTCTTAGTCCAGACGGTACTTTTCAGAAAGAGCATAAAATCTCTTTCAGAACAATGACTGTCAGATAAGAGGCAGAATTATTTATATAATGCAATGAGTTTAATAATATATAAGTTGTTGTTGCTTAGCATCTGCCTCATTTAGTGACCAAAGTTACGACCATGCTAAAAAAAAACACCCAGTTTAACAGCTATGCCCCGCAGTTATGTCCTTTCCAGCATCTCTCTCCTCTTGCTTATTTATACCATACCAAAATGTTTTTAAAGAGAAAGAGAAGCAAACCTAGTTCTGCTGAAGGAAGTAGCAAAAAACAAAGGAAAACTGGAGTAAAATCATAAGTTGTGGTCATGTAATTTTCACTTTTGCTTAACATCCAAGTGTCCAGTACCAATAACAGTCACTGAATGAGAACTACCTGTATATAAAATAATACACTATATTATAATAATTAATATCTAAATTGTCTGAATATACCCCTTATGTTCTATATCTTGGCTAATTAAACTTTCACTATTCATATGACATTCATAAAGTTCATAATAATAATCCCACACATTTATGCTAAGAAATATAAAAAGGTAAATTGGAACCTCCACATATGCCTTGAGTATTTTTATATCTGTATTATGGACTTTGAATAAGCCAAAATTTAAAAATTTGTATCTAAATGTGATAAATAAGGAAACCCAAGTTTTTATGGCACTGTTGATGCTATAGGAAATCCAACAGCCCACTATATGTTATATGTAAGGTGATACATGACCTCCTTTTGGTTTTATTTTGAAAGCTATAACTTACAAGCAGAAAAATGAAGTTAACTTCCTGCACTCTCCTACAGGCTGACAGGCATGAGTTGCAAGTTATTCAGGCCTAGATATTAAGGTAATATCTTAATTTTAAGATATTAAAATTAAGATAAAATCAGATTTTTCCTATTAAAGTTAATAGGGATACATCCATTTTAGCAGCTGAATTTCTGGTCCTTTACTTAAAATAGAAATATGGATAGTTAACACACTTTCTTTTTATAGAACTTTGCATTACAATATTTGCTGTTGTTAAATATTAAATATTATAATTTCTGCTGAGAGATTTTTAAAAATATAATTTCAATATTTTTGGTGAGGAATGTAACATGGTTTGAAGTAGTGGTTAATTCTTGAAATCAAAACTTTAGTGAAAGAAGATTGAGTCATTTAAGGAAGGCAGTTTAAAAAGTAGTTTAATTATAAATCACTCTCTTCATGAGATTTGATTATCTGCAGTTCAAGTGTAAAATAAAAGTCATTGAGCTGCATATGGCATAGTTGTCAAACATTTTGATATTTTATCTTTATAGTGTATTGTATAATATTTTATTTTATATAATGTTTATAGTTTTTTTGAAGAGCATTCTTTATTTGAATTTTTCTCCCAAAAGTTTTTTGTTTTGTCATTAATATTAAAATAATGCAATGCAAAATTGATTAGTATTTCAAGGAATTCTGAGCCATCTGTTTGCAATCTTATTAAATACCTTTTTGGCAGACTGCAGAATTTTTACCATTAAAAATGTTAAGTTAAAGATTTTATCTCATAAATTCTGTAGATACTCAGATGTTTCATTAAAAAATAGCAAGGCTAATTTCAAATCATCTGGCTTTTCACAGCAGATATGTTTTGTTTTGTGTATTTATTTGATTTCTATAGCCACCTAAAGTCACTTTTTAAAGATGGATTTAGTTTAAAATGCTATATAAAGAATTTCATATAATAAGGATTACATTTCATTTAGCTCTTCTATCTTTTATGGAACTACTAGAAAAAATGTAAAATAAAATAATTTTGTAGACAAATTTTGTTAATTTGTGAAAACAAATCAACAGTTAAAGTAACAGCAATCTGTACTAATGTCTGAGCACAGTTTACAAAACTTTAAATACTTTTGAAATTGTATAAAAATGTCTACGAAGTATGTTTTCTTTTCTTGCTTCATTAGTGAAGCATAAAAAACCCTAAAATACATGTATTTTCCCTTGTTTGCTTTTGTATAAATATATACAATACATGAACTGCCATATTAAGTGCTTGAACTCATTTTGAAAGTAATTGCTTATATAAGATAAACCAAGGGACTTGTAGCTTTGTCTTAAAGAGTAGCAGATACATTGACTTAAAGAGTAGGTAATACATTGACAAGTCATGGTGATATGATTATCACATTCCACAAATGTATTAATATTCAATTTTATTTATACAACTATAATAAATTTAGGGTTCTTACATTTCAATAAGACTCTGGAAAGGGCTTATATGTATATTTTGTTGTTTTAATCAATAAAAACAATGATATATTTAATCATTACTAAATAAATCAATTAAAATAATACCATTTTCTGTATGTTTTTGAACAGTGACTGTTGATCTTCTTCTACAATACTTAGTTTTATTTCTTCCTTTTTTCTGAGTAACATTTACAATAATAATAAATTACAATACAATTATATTAAAAACAATGAACAATCTTGCAATATTTATTTTATGAAAATACCGTGCAAGATATATGAAATAGCTCAGTTGCAAAATGAATTATATAAGTAGTCTTACATGTCTAAATCACAAGATTTTTTTAATACTGTAATTTAAGGATATAAATATATTTTACATCCTTGTTCAAAGACATTTTCTGAAAACCATACCCTTAATGATGGCTTACATACATTGTAATAAATAGCTTATTAGTTTCTCAATGTATCCATTAATCCAGAAGGCTATGGATATGAAAAACATTCTTGTCATTCCCAAGAAATGTACAGAGTGGATATATAGTTTTATATATATAATAGAATGTATTGTGTTCTTAACTTTGTAATGCATCTTGTACATTCAGAAAATATTCTGGAAGTAATTTCATGGAAAATATTCCTCATGTATGTATAGGTCACTTTGGAGCTAACCATATTTTTACAAAGTCACAAAATATGTATTCATTTGTATTAATATTTTTCCTTGATTTACTGCAAAAAGATTTTTAATATCAAAAAAAGGTATGTTGCAAAATTCTAATTGTAGAACTACTAATGGAATTTGGATTGCTTTTTTTCAATTTGCTTTCATTATTTTTATGCCACTAGGATTTTGTTACAAATTCTATAAACAGGATTTGTAACTCTAATTTAAACTGTATTCTTTTTTTATCTTTTATTCCTTCATTTTATATTACACAAGATATGAAACTGTACAACTTAACAGACAGTTGTCGAAAGGGATTATTTAATAATGTAATAAACAACACAATCATAAACAACATAAATAAATATCTTTTTTAGAATTTTTTTTTTCTTTTTTTGTGCCTTTGAATCATTGTTGACTAGTTCCTGCAACTTTCTTGGCAAGATTTCGGAAATGGTTTTCCATTGTCTTCTTCCTGAGGCTGAGTGGGTGTGACTAGCCCAAGGTCGCTCAACTAACTTTGTGGCTAAGGTGGTATTAGAGTGCATGATCTTCAAGTTTCTAGTCCACTGCCTTAACTACTAAAACAAACTCACTCTTAGCAACCACTAATATGATTTTCTAGAAAATGTTTTTCAAAATAGTGGCATCTGAGTCTGAATATTACAGGATATCTACTAATATATGCACATATATATATTTAAATTCAGTTTTAACAGATAGGCCTCCACCCATCATTCTCCAGGGACCTGTAAACCAGACATTGGCTGTAGATGGAACAGCTTTACTGAAGTGCAAAGCTACTGGTGACCCAATGCCTGTTATCAGCTGGCTAAAAGAAGGATTTACTTTTCTTGGCAGAGATCCAAGGACATTTATACAAGATCAAGGAACTTTGCAAATTAAACCTTTACGGGTGAGTGTATGTTATAACAATATATTTACCTTTCTGAAATCAAGAGAGTAATAGTTAAATGAGAGCTGCTTAATTATTTATTGATTGTACATCACATGTAGAAGTTTAGGCACTCTGGGTTAATAAATCCCTTAATGAACAGAAGCTGACACAATTTCTGAAATATTTATTCCAATTTAAATGCATAGTTACTGTGTCTGTGTAGTTGTTTACATGCTCCAAGTAAGAAAAATTGTGCATATGGCTAGTGCAGAGTTTTGAACTATCTTCCTATTAAATCAGTGCTCCTCCTCTTCCTCCTCCTCTCTTAAGCCTTCCTTTCTTGTTCTTTCTGTAAGTGAAGTTCTTAGTAAGGTTTTACAAAACTGAATTTCTAGGGCTATTGTGCAATTATCCAGGTTAAAAAAAATTCTATAGGGAACAAATACTCTGTCTCACAAACTTTCAGGTCATGATTTTGTTATATTTACTTTCAACAGCCATGGCATCCTCTAAGCCAGTGGTTCTCAACCTGTGGGTTGCGACCCCTTTGGGGGTCGAATAACCCTTTCACAGGGGTTGCCTAAGACCATCAGAAAACACATATTTTCAATGGTTTTAGGAATAATTTTATGGTTGGGGTTCACCACAACGTGAGGAACTGTATTAAAGGGTCGTGGCATTAGGAAGGTTGAGAACCACTGCTCTAAGCTAAAATATAGCTTACACTGGAATAGTTATCGACAAATCCAGTGTAACCAAAATAAGTGTTGACTATACAACAATGATCTGCAAAGAAGAATTGACAACATAAAATCCATTGTCCAACTTTATCTGATTTTCTAAACTATCCAAAAGAAAACCTTAAATCTTAAATATGGTGGAGCAAAATTTGGACAATGTGAAACAAAAACTGAACTCTTTCGGCACATCTTTTTTAAAAAAGGGAAAAAAACATTTTGAGATAAAATGGACATTGACTTACCTCTGAACGTCCCTTTTCAGTACGCTGCGACTCCAATCCATTGATTGGGGAAGCTCTCATCACGTTGCTGGGGAACTGAGTGCAGAATTCTCCTTGGCTGACCACGCCCCCTCTGTGTCACTCCCGTCAGTCTTTCCTCACGAAGCTACAGGAGGTCCAATTGCAACCAGAATGTCAATGAAACAAAACAGAAACACAGAAGGTAACTCTGGAACACGAAGCCCAAACAACGGGTGGGTATGGATTGGAGTCACAGCGTACTGAAAAGGGACGTTCAGAGGTAAGTCAACGTCCATTTTCCAGCACACTGCTCCTCCAATCCATTGATTGGGATATACCCAAGTTACAGATCCTGGGTGGGAGGCTGAGTGCTCCCTGAGTCTCGGGACTCGGCCACTCTTTGTAAAACTCTGCGGCCAAAGGAGGCCTCCGCCGCAGCAAATGAGTCAATCTTGTAGTGTCTAATAAATGTCGAAACTGACGTCCAGGATGCAGCACGACAAATATCTAGAACTGATGCCTGAGTTGCCCAGGCTGCTGATGCCGCCGCACTGCGGGTGGAATGGGCACAAATACCCTTCGGAACGGTCCTGCCCTTGCTACAATATGCCGTCGAGATGCAGGCTTTGATCCAACGACCTACAGAAGTTGGCATCACCGTCTTCCCCATAGAGGAAGGGTGGAATGAAACGAGCAAGGCTTCAGTACGACGAAACGAAGCCGTTCTCCTGACGTATCTGCGGAGAGCCCGTCGCACGTCTAGAGTATGCCAGTTTTTCTCCCTCGGGTTCCGAGGATCCGGGCAAAAGTTCGGCAGAATGAGCTCCTGGGCCCGGTGGAACCAGGTGTTTACCTTTGGTGAGAAAGAAGGGTCCAACCTCAACACTACTCTATCCGGATAAAACTGGCAAAGATCACTGCGAACCGACAAGGCGGTCAGTTCAGAAATCCGTCTCGCCGATGTTATTGCTATTAGAAATGTAATTTTGAAGGTTAAGAACTTTAGTGGAACAGACGCCAGCGGCTCAAAGGGAGGCGAGGTAAGCGCTTGGAGTACTAGAGTTAAGTCCCAAGTAGGGAAACGGTGGACTACCGGCGGAGACATATTAGAAGCACCGTGTAAAAAGCTCCGGATGCGCGGGTTCTGCGTCAATGAACGATGAGGTTCACACACAAGGACCGTTGCAAGTGCCGCCACTTGGCGTCTTAAAGTGGCAGGCTTCAGGCCTTTAGCCAAACCACTTACGAGGAAGTCCAACACATCTGGGATGTCGGCCGAAGTTGGATCTACATGGTTTCTCGAACACCAAATTGAGAAAGCATTCCAAGAAGCTTGGTATATACGATTCGTCGAAGGACGTCTGGCTGATTGGATAACCGCAATGGCCAAGTCTGAAAGTCGGTCCTTCTTCAGCAGCCGCCTCCCAAGTGCCAGACGGTCAATCGGAGCCACTGGGGCTCTGGATGGACGATGACCCCCTGGCGGAGAGAGACGACATGCTGAGGTATTGTCCATGGAGGGGAAATGGAAAGGCTCAGTAGGTCCGCGTACCACGGTCTGCGCGGCCAACAAGGAGCCACCAATAAGATTTCTGCCTGTTCTAGTAACAATTTCCAGATTACTTGAGATATCAAAGGAAGCGGAGGAAATGCGTACAGAAGGCCGTCCGGCCACTGGCATCTCAGGGCGTTGCAACCCTCCGCCCCTTGGCACTGATAGCGGGTGAAATATCTTGGTAGTTGTGCGTTGCTGGGAGTGGCGAATAAGTCTACGAGCAGCTTTCCAAAATGCCGAACTATGTCTTGGAAGATGTCCGGATGGAGTTGCCACTCGGCCGGGTCGATGCGTTCCCGGCTGAGCCAGTCCGCCTGCACGTTGGAAATACCGGAAATATGATCTGCTCTTAGAGACGCTGTGTGGCGTTCTGCCCACGTCAGCAGCAATTCCGACTCGATCATGAGGCTCCGGGACCGAGTGCCCCCCTCTCGATTCACGTGAGCCTTGGTTGTCATGTTGTCCGTCCGGATCAACACGTGACGGCCCTCCAAGATTGGACGGAAATGCCGGAGAGCAAGGCGAACAGCTCTCAACTCCAGCCAATTGATGCTGTTCGCCTTCTCCGCCAGAGACCAACGCCCTTGGACTACGTGATCCAGAAGATGAGCCCCCCAGCCCACCAGACTGGCATCCGATGTTAAAATCAGTCGGTCGACTTCGAGGAAGACACAGCCCCGGAGAAGTGCGGGGGACGTCCACCACAGCAGTGATGACCGAAGTTGAGGTGGAAGGCGAACTAACGACGGAGAATTGCTGCGATTCGCTTTCTGAAATGGGAGCAGAAACCATTGTAATGGTCTCGTATGTCTGCGTGCCCAGGGAACGATATTGATGCAGGACACCATTTTCCCTAAGACTTGAGACAGGCGCCGAATTGGGACAGTCCGGTTGGTCGAAATTTGAGCGATTGTTGACTTGATGTCTTTGACTCGATCCGGCGACAGGAAGACCTGGCCTTTGGTAGTATCTATCACCGCCCCCAGATGAAGAATCCTTGTCGTCGGAACCAGATGACTTTTCTTGTGATTTATTGTGAATCCATGACTCTGAAAGACTCTTAGCACTGTCTCTATGTCGCTCGACGCTTGATGCGGAGACGATGATAGGACAAGGATGTCGTCTAGGTAACACAGAAGACGAATTGGTAGAGCCCTCAGAGATGCGGCTACCACGGAGACAAGTTTCGTAAAGGTTCTGGGGGCGGAGGAGAGACCAAAGGGCATCGCGCAGTATTGATAATGGAGAGAGTTGTATTCGAATCGGAGGTACTTGCGATGCGCCAGGTGGATCAGAACGTGTAAATAGGCCTCCCTCAAATCCACCGACTGCAGAAGATAGTTTGGCCGGATGCATGCCAGAATCGACGAGAGGGACTGCATCTTGAACCTGCGATCTAGGATGTACTTGTTCAAGTGCTTCAGGTTCAAAACACTTCTGTGCCCTCCTGAAGATTTGGGGACCAGGAATAAGATGGAATAGAACCCCTTCGTCCTTTGGGCCTCGGGCACTGGTTCTATGGCTTTGATGTTTAAGAGATGAGTAATCTCCGCCTCCATTAGTTCTCTTTGGTGTAAGATTGGAGATACTGGGCAGCGACGAAACCGGCTGGGAGGGACCCCGACGAATTCGAGACAAAGGCCATAACGAATGGTGTGACGGATCCACTCTTCGGTCGTTGAAATTTGCCATTGGTGATGAAACAGTTGGAGACAACCACCAATGGCATCTGGATGTTGTGAGTCATTTGCCACGTTTGTTGGGACGGGCTCCACCTCCTCTGAAAGGATGCTTGGAAGAAGGTTGCGAGCGTTGTCGGCCCCGAAAGGACTGCCGATCCTGGAAACGGTCACCTCCGTGACCAAATGGTCGTTGGGTATAGGATCCACTGGAAGCCGAATAGGTCCGAAATGTTTGTCGATTACTGTACGGTGTATACCTGCGTTCTGGTCTGCGAAAGGAAGAAGGAAGAACTTTACGTTTTTCTTTATCTTCCACCAAGAGAGGGTCCAATGCAGCACCAAACAAGGCCGGAGCTTTAAAAGTTGATGAAGCTAGCTTCCACTTTGACTTCGAATCGGCTTTCCAATTTCGGAGCCAAAACAGATGTCTGTTCGTAACCGTAGAAGCCATAGCGCGGGCTGCGAATTTTGCGGCATTTAGAGACGCATCCGCCGAATATTCCATAGCAGCCACTATCTTGTTAATATCCTGATGTACGCGTTTGTCGGCGGTGGGGAGATGCTCTTGTAACTGCTTGAGCCAAATCAACGTTGCTCTATTGAAAAAAGATGTCGCTGTTGCAGCTTTTATTGCCCAAGTAGCCGCCTGATGGGCCTTACGAAATCCCATTTCCGTCTTTCTTTCATCGGTCTTCAAACCGTCCATAGCATCAGCTGATACTATTGAGGACGAAGAAAGGTTGGCCACTGGTGCATCTACCGTTGGTAAGGCCAGGATATCGTCCAACTCCGTCGCCGC